TCAGAACTCAACAGCCTGCAATGGAAGTAATGCTTTGAGTCATTGAAGCCATGAGCCCATTATCTAGAAGCAGACTGACGATATCACTCGGCTCAATGTAATACGGGGTAGTGAAGGGCGGAAGTCCATTTATTGCGTACTAGTGTAAGGCTGGATGCCTTAGACAGTCGAAATAAAGAAGATCTGGAAGGTTTGAAGGCATTAATTTTGTTTTATTATTCCTTGGCGAGGTGGGTTCAGGTTGTCGAAACGATCGAGGTTGTATTGTTTTAAAAAGAAAAAGGGGGTGCTCGACTATCTATACACACGAAGGAACCAGCCACTAATTTCTCAGGCTTATGCGGCCTGCCTTACTTGCCAGATATCGTTCTCCACAACACAGGCTGACGTACCACCCAGTCTACCTGTAGCCAACCGTTTCAGATATAGGAGGACATTTCAGCACAGGTTTCTCCGTGCACGGTGAGTGATTCTTCGTGACCTGGGTACCGCCGATTTCGGAACTTAATCTTGTCTGGTATAGTAGGTTGCTTGGGTGAAAAAAAGAAGTATTAGGATAGCCAAGTAACTTCCCACAATAGGGGACGTGGTTTCTTGGTCACAGATATCGTAGACCCATTTCTGTTCTCAAAAAACATAGAATTCCATTGTTGCCAAATCCCACCACCGCCTGTTATAAGACTATTTGGTCTCCAGATAGATCACGAAAAGAAAATAGATTTCGCCATTCGAACCGCAATAGCCTATTCCCATTGATGAATTAGTTCCCGTGGGTCCCAGACTTGTGTGGGCGTGCTTAATCCTCAGGTGTGTTCCGCTATCAGAAATAGGCCTTGTTTGGGCCCCGCTACCGTCGATGGGGTAGTGGCAGACGCCCGCGAATTGGTAACGTAGTGCTGCGAGGACGACATGATCAAGGGCTTCCAACTGCCTTCTGGAATGCAAAACATGTTCTTAATCAGCCTTAGCTCCTCCTGTGAGTCCGCGGTAACAGCAAATTCACACACCCATTGTAGGACAACGTGAATTTATTGTCAGTTATGCGCTGGTAACAACATACAGTACTCAGAATCCCCACATGCAAGATGATATACCCCTCCACGTTCAGATAGCACCAACATTCCTCTAGTATCCTTGCTATAGTAGCCCCCCCCTCCCGAGAACTGCTCAGCTCGGTTCGATACCATATCGTTTAGACCAAGTATTCTCATCCCCTCCCTTCCTGCGATAGTCGCTCATCTACCCTCCACTCCCAAAACCTGCATGCCATCGCCGATTGTGCGAAGCGATTGGGAGATGGATCATCCTAGTCGGCGTTTTTTTTTTTCAAGAAAACCTTTTATCACTCTGTTATTTTATGCATTAGGTATTTAGTATAGCTTAGGTTTAACACTCAGTTGAAGTAATTTCCACTAGCTTTATGTATCTGATCCAACATTTCTATATATTTGCAAGCAGGCTCGAGGTATGCAACATTGATAACTATGATACTCTAAGTTTTGTAGCATCACAGTTACCCTAGCCTATTTTGTACCGTTCTCCCTTATCTACAGTTAATGAGATCCGTTATCAATACCTAGTAGAAAAGGTTACAATTCATCCAATCTGTCCATTAGGCTGTTCTCCGAGAATCGTTCGCCCCCTATCCCATATCTCTGATAGCGTTGAGCCTCTGATATTCCAGTCACCATAGCTGTCATACCTTGTATGATACAGCAATTTGCTCCCCTGTAACTTGCAGTTGATTCTCTCGTTGTACTCGAATTTGGGGGTTGCCGTGTTCTATTCTTCTTTTATCCACCCCTTTATCTTTCGATTCCTTCCCCCTTCCCCTCTATTTTTTTTCTTTTTTTTCCCTTTCCACCGATTACGCTACAGAATCCTCCCAGTGTTTGAATCTACATCTTGGACCAAGTCCAGGTCCCCACACCCACCCCGGTGGCCAAGACTCCTGACATGACAATCAGTCGCACCCTGCTATCCCGGATGGCCAAAATCTGAATTATCCATTCGGTGCAGTGAGTAATCCAGGACAACGGGTCAGTTTTTGGCGGAAAGAACTTCAGAGTTCACAGGGATTCGTTCAGGAGAGCGAGGGATCCGGATTATCGAGACCCGTGACAGCGAGATGTGACAGTATATTTTCATTGATATAACAGCTGCCTAATTTATATCCGAAAGCGTAAACCCTCTAATGGTTACGGCGTTACGGCACGAGTGCTAAAGTTCTAGAATGTAATGAGGTAACTTCACGGAGGTTCGCTGCTGATTCAATGTTCGTGCATCGGACTCTAATGGGTGTCGAGAGATCCCGCTATCGGGATGCTTAATACCTTTGTTGTGTATTTACAGCAGGGGACGAGTACGGTACAAGTAAAGCCAAACCCCACTATAGCGCAACTCGATAATACCGATACCTCGCTGTCCCGTACTAAATGCTGTGAGATCAAAATAATCTCACCACAAAACTTAACCGTCCGGCTCACTCGCCGTACCAGACACAATCTTTTGATTTGGTCGTCCTGGATAGCGCGGTGCGACGGTAACGTATGAGACAAGAAAGGTCATAACCGGACAATCGTCGAAGCACCAGCGCAATGGGTGATGCCCTCACAGAATATAGCGATTGCTTTCGGCTTAGTCTAAATGAATTGTCATATTCACCAACTTTATCGCAAGACAAGAGTTCAAGTAGAATCCTATTCAACACAACCGACCAAGTTATATTTGGCTGGTTAACCTCAAACAGCTGTTCACGAACTTCTTATCGGACCACGTACTGTACAAGTACTTGTACTTGCACGTGTATAGTGCCCATAGTGTTAACATTAGTCTTCCTCAATCAAAATTATCATCCTGGTCTGTTGAACCCTGATCCGGTTTGCCCGAATCTTGTGTGTAACGCGAAGCAAGCAGCCTGATATGCTAGTTGAGCTAATTTTTCGTGAAGGAAAGATGTCTGTCCAACTCTGGGGTAGTGGCTGGAGCGAACACCGTTCCCTGGGGGGTGGAGAAGGCACTCGAGCCAACCCGAGGAAGTTCGACCCCTCATACCTGGTACTTGACAATTCATAAATTATCATGATGCCTTGGCGCACTTGGCTATAAATTTGGATATCTTGGCGCCAAGTCGTTCATGAATCGTCGAGTAAGTTACTCAGTAACTCGAGTAAGTACTGTACAACTACTAATGCGGACGATTGATATATTAGTCACATGGGTCTAATAAGAAAAAACCGGTGAACCTTCTTGTTGCAGTCTACTGCACCCATATAAAGCACGTGACTAATATATCAATTAGTAGTGCCCGCACCAGGTACGACGCTTTCGTACAAGACAAGGAGGGATAGCTAGCCAGCAAAATAATCCCTGTCTTGTATGCTAATACCTTGCCCGGTACTTGTACCCCAATAGAGGTTGAAAACCACTATCTCCGCTAGTCCTGTTATATCCGGACCAAAGACGGAAGCTCTTAAATCTTAAGAGGGATTAGCGCTTTCCTCGCACCGTACACGAGTATGAGGTTAGCCCACTTTACATGCTAAATCTCATAACTCGCAACTCTTTTAATCTGTCAAATCAAACCTACCGGGCCGTCACCGACTCCCGTTGAGACCGGTGTTCTAATAGTTGGTTCCGACAAATTTTACAGTAGGGTAACGGAAATTTTCCCCTAGCTGACCCCTGTTATCCACACGCCCAGTTTCGCCCTGGGCACGGAGAAGACCCGAGCGGTACTGGCGTGGAGTACCCAGCCCGTTGTGGCTATTAAGTTGACCAGTTTGGTATAGTGGGATACCAGGTGCTGTACGGAGTACGTTGAGGGCTTGGAACCACATTGCGCGGAGGCGGCTCGATTTCCCTCCTCCATCCAGTTCTCTACAAGTACTGTACACGTACATTTGATATTAAAATCTCATTCTACGGATTTCCGAATTCCCGGACTTGTTTGATGTCACATTACGAGTATGTGAATCGGCTTGACACCAAGTAACGGTACTAGCGTTATAATAATCGAGAACGAATACGGAGTAGATATTCCGAGATTATAGTCGAAACTTCCCTTCATCGAAGTCTGCGATACTGTTGATATAGAGATGTTCCAGACTCTAGATATGGGATGAAAAGAAAAGGAGAGCAAAAGGAGAGCTACTACGACCCACGAAGCATCTGTTAGTGTCAGCGGAGGCAATTCCAATGGCTTAGCTCACAGTTCGGTTACTGTACCCATGTTCCAGTTTCAGCCACTATATTACAAGAATTTGGTTGTCGCTGCTCCCAAAAAGGGTAGCTATCAAAATTCTAGGAAAAGTGCGCATTTTCATCACTGCAAGGAATATTTACCAGTTGGAGGCTCGCTTTCTAACTCCGATGCCAGACGAAGCTAGAATGTATAACACACAAGGTATCCAAAACTACAAGGTCAATGAAAACCACGAGTTCCTGCCCTCAAGCCCGGATTTTTTCCACCCACCTGGAAAAGGCCAAATGTGCCATCGTCACCCAGAAATGAGACAACCCATCAAAGTTCCTATGGCCGGGGATTAAGTATTGCCTATAACTTGTCCTGTGTGGTTAAACATGCAGGTACTTCATCAAATACAACATCTTATATCCACGAGTATATTGCGGGAGAAGCCCTGAATTGCTTCTGGCTGCTCTGCTCGGAGAGCGTAGCTGACAGAGCCGGCCGGGCTAATCACCGTCTTGCTCCTAAGTGGAGCTTGCCTACGTCAATCGAGAGCATATCCGGGAGGAGGATGTGCCGGGGGTTCGAGGACAGAAACCCGTGGTTTGACTGATCTTGCACTATACAGAACCAGGGTTGTAGTTTTGAAAGTCGTGTACTAGTACCTTTCCCCACCAAGTTTGGTTCTTGTAAAATGAACCCCAAAACCGTGATCCCCACTCACTCTTTAGCCCAGGACATCTATAAAAACCCCCAGTGTCGCTAAAAACCTACGATTTATTATAGTGTTCAATCATTCACATTCTTACCTAAATAAAAGCAGTTCACAGTCCATAGAGGATTGGTATATCTCATCAGACCCTTAGCTCCATCACCGTTGCTCTTCCCGGGAGCAAACCTCCTCTCTCGATTCTCCCCGGACAAAACATTTCCCACTTTGCTACCTACTCAAGCTCACAAATTTCCCCAAAAACAGCAAACTCTGACCACCACCGAACCCACAAATCCGCAAAGATGGTTAACAAGAGCATCCATACCGCCATCGACCCAGCGAGTGCAACCACTATGGCAGAGGTCCGTACCAGCATTGACGACCTTGACCGTCAGATTGTCGCTCTTCTTGGTATACTCTTCCCCGTCCGGTCAGCTCCCGAGCTCTACAAGGTGGCTGACAATTCCAGGCGAGCGCATGCGCTTCATTGAGGCTGCTGCTCGCATCAAACCTCATCGCGAGGCTGTCAGGGACCAATGGAGAGTGGATGACGTCTTGACCAAAGTTGAAGCTGCGGCAGAAATAGTAAGACACCCACAAACCACTGAATTCCAGTTGTTTACCCACTGTGCCAGGCCAATTTCCCCAAGAAGATTGTCCACAAATTATATGCCGATCTTATCGAGTCCTCTATTCTCCATGAATTGGTCAATTTTGACCATCTTGCCGGAAATAACCTTAATGGCAGGGAGGACGACCTAGTGGAGGTCAAGAAACCTTCAAAGGTCAAGGCGACTGAGAAGGAGTCTGCGGTTATTGAAACCGGTGAGGTTGAGACTACTTGGGTTTATTAGGCGCATTCCCTTTTTTTTCTTCTTCTCTTCTTCTACGGTGTGCTGTCGTTTAGTTTTTTTGTTTCTCCAAAGGGGGCTTGAGCCTTCACCATCTCTTTCTATTTACATCACTGTACCGCCACGTCTGTAGTGTCTAGGTCTACTGGGTTAGATTGTTAGTTTCTGTAAGAAGTATCCACAGATATGAAACCGCTTATCAACGGATAATATTTTTCTGCGCAAGAGGGGAGACTATCACATTTTGCGCGCCCCCAGCTTTAATACTCGAGTATACCCCAGAGTACAAGTACTAGTACAACCACCAACCCCCAGAACCACACTAGTGCGTGTCATGGCATTTCGCTTCTATTTCCCGCATGCTGCCATTAAGAGTTACTATTCAGCGCCCAGCTCCCGAGGTTATGCGTCGAGGCACACAAAATGTACAGGCAGTGTCGCTGCGAGGCGACTTGCCTATCCTCACCTAAACGTAGGAATTTTAAAAAAGGTTCCCTGATTCATGAACAAACCTATTGTCCTACCACCACCAATGTCCGTTTGGGCTGGGGTAGTATTCTTCAGCCAGCATCACACCTATTGTATCCTTCGTACCACAATCCTGGTTTCCCTCCCTGTGCTCCCTACTCATCCGGTAAGTCAGCTTTGTACTGTACAAGTATCCCCCCCCCGACGATCGTTTCCGTTTCTGAGTCTGTGGGCAATTTTCGTTTTAGCTTGAAAGTTGTTGAGGAGCGAGAGAAAATTGCTGTCCATATCATACCACTCCACGTACTTATAGCTCCCACCATCCTAGAATTGTCTCCAGAGTTATTGGTGATCCCTAATCCCTGAGCAGGTCTTTCGAGCCAATCTTCTACCAAAAGTGGCATTCTTATTATATATCGCTTCCCTTATTACAAGCCCGATGGATGAGGTGGGGCTAAACCGATAAAAAAAGCCAACTTCCTCCTGGAATGACTTCTGCGGTGAGTTCTTTCATTTTTTCTTCTTCCAGAGACCCTCTACTTCCCACCGGGATCAAGGTTCTTTGCCGCTTCGCTATGAGATGATAAGAGTTGGGGTCTTTCTACTCGTGGGGCTACTGCATATCGAGTCCTGAATGTAATATGGAGACAGGGTCCCCTTGCCGAAATACTCACGCGACGGTTATTCTATAGTAATTGGATCGGTTGGGCGGCCCACGAGGTTTTTTGTGGGTTCTCCTGAGTCCTTGATTCCCCAATGTGATCGGGGTTGATCCCGAATGGTACCGGTAGCGTAACCCGTTTCCATAAGTCCGGCTAAGTGGGTCTAAGGGAGCTGGGGAGATCTGGGGTATGGGGTACGTACCAACTACGAGTACCTTTGTCAACCCTTCAACCTTCTCAACCCTTTTTTCCCTCTGGTGGACGTCACGGTGGGGGTTCAGACTGATCACCCAGCTGAGGGAGGCAAAAAGACCATACCATAGCAAAGAGAAGAGGAGAGAGACGGCTATGGGGAGATTGCGTTCCAGAAAAGAATTTCATTTTTTTTTAGGAAATTCCAGTGCCAACGACCTCTTGCGAAATCAAGTAATAATTGCGCCACCCAACCGAGAAATACTTCATGCGGAAGCGGAGTTGCCGCCGGACATAAAAGGAGGGAAAGCAATGTGCGCCGCACCCAAGTGTTAACCGTGCCGAGATTCCCGCGGATATTATGTGACATGCGAGAGGTCCAAATCTCTCAGGACGTCCAGTTTACCGCACGCTTCGACGTGTCAGACAGCTCAACGCCGGATTCGGCCTAGCGACAGATTTTTTCCCTGACCGAAACTTCAACACCCCAGCACGCCACCCCTAGCACCGCTGAGTACGGTACTACCCGTCTAGTAACTATGGGAAAGCCTCCGAGAAGTTACTCCAATTTGTGAACCCAAGCATTATGCCCATGGTCTGCAAGGTTGGGGCAGCACATAACTCTGACATCATGTCATACAACAAACTCGACAGTAACTAAAGAGGATTTAAACAAAAGGTTCTTCGATCGAAGGAAACAAAATATTTAAAAACTCTTTTGTGAACCTTAAGTAGTCTATTAGTTAGAGAAGGTCACAATTTATTCCCAAAATTAAAACCTGATGTTGAACTATCAGACCCTAGATATAGATTGAGGTGTCGGATGGCCACCAAGATCTAACTGATTACAGGTAAATAACGCCACAACGGCAACTTCTTTGACTTGCACAGTCTGCATAGAGACATAGATTCCTCAAGGCCTCGAAGCTGGGCGATTTTCTCCTTCAGCAGCCAGCCCAGGACCCCTAATCCAACAATACCAGGTGCCTCCCAGTACACCTCCAGCCAAGTCAAAGAATCCTACAGACCCGCCATCCGCCCCCGTATCCTCCCACCGCCCCCGTGTCCGCCCTCCCCCCGACATCAAATCCGCTGCGCTTGCTAGGGATGCCCCGTTTTTTCCAACATTGGGATTTTCAGAGGGTAATAAAAACACACTTTTGATAACATAATAAGATGACTGATCGAAGATGGGTTACATCAAATAAATACCTAGTTTCAGTAATTTCGCCCGTAAAGACCAACACTCCTTTCTCCATAGGGGATCCCTGCCATAGTGCACCTCTATTCAAGAAGTACCCTCCCGAAGTCTCCCGAATCCATTGAATTAGCCCCCAATTACGGGCCAGGAATGAACAATGGATCCCAAGCATCGATTGATGGTCTATAAATCTGCTGAATGGACACCCCGGTCTGTCAAACTGGAGGACACGAGCAGGAGTGTGCCGACATTGTTATTAGACCGCGAGATGTTCAGGGTTAGGGTAAAGAAGATATGCCGGCAAGGTGTGGATGCTTGGTAGCATTCCATAGGGAATGATCAGAGTCCAAAGTCTAAAATTCTGTCCGCAGTATGACGCCCTGAATTATATTATCAGATTGTAATCTCGATGGGGGCGGGATATGAGAGGGAACAGATCTTTCTTGAAGTTATCACCCTGGACTCCCGCTGAGAAAAAAATCCTTCCCCAGTGCAAATATCCCGTCCCACTGGTTAGCATGCAATTAGTAGACACGTTTAACTGCGATCAGGACATGCCTTGGCTCCTCATACGGCCTGTCTCACCTCACCCAAATTCACAACATATCACTCGCAAAATGGTTTGTTAACTCGCGACCACCAAAAAACCATCTCTGCGAGGTACTCGTACCCCTAGCCTATATTTCCAGTCCCAAATGCACTTTGAAAAAGCCCTATACTCGTCGAGTAGCTGTGAGCGCTAATCAGGTAATAGTCTCCATAGACAGCGCGGCTATTTGATCCTCTTTCCCCCCATGTCAGGCCTGGACTGTAACGGATGGTACCGTTCGCCGCACCGTTATATCGTAACTAACTAAGAAAATCATTGAAACCGATATCACAAACAGCAATAGGTCTGTCGTTTACGTTGCCGGCAGAGCCTGACTAAGGCGATAGCATCAATAACAGCGATTTCTCGCTGCGGATACCTCGTCCCATACTCCGGAACCCGCTCAACAAGATATGCAAAGCCACTGGTAAGGATTATTCTACGTGTAGCGCACGCACCCCTCAACCCTGTAGTCGCAGCACAGAAATCCCTAGTACAGTTACTTGCCACGTGTGAACCTCCTGGGGATGCTCCATGCCAATACCGCATCCTATCAGCTGGAAGCTCCGATAAGAGCAAATCCGCAGCTTTCACCGGCGCGGCCGGGATTTCTAGTTTATTCGTCCATCTGTATGCACTTATGCAGTCATTCATTACCAGCGCTTGGCCTTTCACCCAGGTTGAGCTATCGGAGTGCCGTAGACTTGGTTACTTTGCTATTACCCAATCGATTGTTGTTGGTCTGACATGGCATGCTCAGTGCCTTGTCCGCAGAAATGACCGTTCATGGTGGCGGTAGTATGGGTGGTTGCTATACGAAGGTACAGCCCCTAAGTTTTGTACTTTTGCTAGCAGGGGGCATTCGGCTAGCAAGGATTAGGAGGGTGAATAGGAAAAGGTCGCTTGTGGCTGGTGGTCATCGACATAACAAGATTTTCACGATCAACAACTCTTTTTTGTTTGTTTTTTTCACACCCCACCAACAATTCTACGCGGATCAAATATATTCACTTAGCCAGCATGACATCGACTCCAAAAAGGGAGATGTGGGCAGCGAAATGCCATTGTTCCTGGCTGCTTGAAATCAGTACGAGAGAGTAGTGAAAATTCAGCTCAGGTGAGATGATGTCAACTTATCAAGTCAGATGAGTCTGGCCAAATACCACTAAGTAAGTTATCCCCATCCTTCCTCCAATTGCTATCTATCTCCTCTTTCCTTCTCTGTTCCTCTATAATAAGAAAGAAAAAGAAAACAATATATTAACAAAGTAGAAACAAAAATCCTCTCTAATAGCACTGCAGGCAGGCTGTTAGGTGGAGACAACTTGATAGACTTCAAAGTTGTCTAGGCCAATTGAGATTCGTTTCTGCAGACAGAGATTGTCTAGGAAGGCTCGGACTTTGCTCATTTCATTTATGACTACTAGGAGTGAAGTAAAATAGGTAAAGTAGGGTAGAATCGTAAAAACAATAGTATATTGTTAAGGTCTCTTCTCCATTGCTTAATGATGTCTAAAGCTTGAGAGGCACTTCAATATTTATATTCTGTGTCTGAGTGTCCGTGGACTACATCTATTTATCATACAACTAAGTACTTCTTCAATCGTAATTCACAATGTCAAGTTTTCATCCAAGGTGCGAACACCTGTGGACCCTGAAAACCATCACACCCGGTTCGGCAATTACGATATTTTTTCTTAGAAAACATACTGTCCCCAATAGTAATATCCCGATTAGTAGAATCTTTAGACTTATGGCCTAGTTCTTAAGTCGAACTGAGTTGGCTCCAATTGTCTTCACCATTGATAAAATGATCAGTTTTATCTGTGGCTATATCTGCAAAGGTGGTCGTTATTACAACCATCGTAGGTCATCTAACTCTGATCCTTTGTAACTCCATACCCAACCGATAGATTTTCTCTGGAAGACTTCCTATTAACTCACAGGAAGCTATTCTACCAAATTGGTAATTAATCCCTCGGTTGGCAACTCTTGGTTGCTCTCTGGGTAGTAGGTTTCAGTAACCTTTGTAGTATTGAGAATCACTCCATGGCTACGACATGTTCCAAAACCCAGTTGCAACACTCTGTG